TTTTTCATATTTGGTTGGAGTCTTGTAAACAATTTTGGGGAAATTTATACTAGAATGAAACAAATTCTAACTGCAAATTGTTGTTAAATATTACTAAACTTTACTAAATTTCCCCAACTAAGATTGAACATGGTAGCTGCTGCAAGGATATTCTGTTTCTTATTGGAAAGTACATGCTGTTCTCTCGGTAGAGGAATGGCTAATTAACTTATGGCAGTAGACACACAGATGTCTAAAATAAGTTTGTATTTCAAAAATAAATCTGGTACAGAACTCATATGGGGGACCATGTTTGGATTATAATTCTGTAATTGGGTTTTAGGTGCACCCAAAATTTGGTTTCTCTTAATATAAAGTCTTAATATTGTAACTTTCTAGATTTGCTAAATGAGAATAAATTTCCGGTACTTGGATAGAATTTACTATAGCTTTTTAACTTATTTTATGATTTATACTGTGTTGATTATTGCTGTGTTATTCATATATTGAATGGATTTCAAGAGCAATCTGCAATTTTCAGGACAATATAATATATCGAGTTACTTCAGTTAATGAAATGTTGAAACTTTTAAGCTAATTCTAGGATGCGTGATAAATTGGGTTACAAAGTGAAAGCCTTCCATTGGCTGGAATTTCTGCAACCTTATCCAATTCCATTTCCATAAATCTAGTTAAAGTCAACTCTGGGAGAATCTTGCCATCAGCTGAGTCAGCTACTGAGACCTGATAATCTCTATATCATGGGTCTGATTGCTGTAAACACCACTCACCTAAATAATAATACTGTATATATTCATGGATAAACTAAGAATTTTAGATGCTGAACTATATCAAAAAGACAGGTTCTACTTATTCAAGCCAACTCTTGAATATTTAACCAAAATCCAGGTAGTCCTTGACTTACGACCAAAGTTGAGCCCAAAATTTCTGTTGCTAAGCGAAACAGTTAAGTAAATGTTGCCCTATTTTATTACTTTTCTTGTCACTGTTGTTAAGTGAATCGCTGCCGTTGTTAAGTTAGTAACATGGTTGTTAAGTGAATCTGGCTTCCCAATTGACTTTGCTTGTCAGAAGGTCACAAAAACTGTTCACATGATCCTGGGACACAGAGAGTGTCATAAAATATGAACCAGTTTCCAAGCATCCGAATTTTGATAATGTGATCACTGGGGTGCTGAAACGGTTGTAAGTGTGAAAAATGGACACATAAGTCACTTTTTTCAATACTGTTGTAACTTTAGACAGTCACTAAGTGAAAGGTTGTAAGTCAAGGATTACCTGTGCCATGAAAAATGCACCATTCACAGATAAACTAACCTTCAACATCTATCGGAGTTGGAGTCTATACATCTTGAAGTTGCTGAGGTTATGAAAGATTAAATTGACAGTCCTTGAAATCACTTCTAACTCCATAATTCTATGTTCCTTCAGTGTCAGGAGTGGGAACAACACTGATAAAATGGATAGGTCCTTATCCCACATTATATTCTGCTTTAGATGATTAAAATGTAAATGGAAGGAGTGATCAGATATTAGCATTGGCTATTGCACTACATGCTAAATCTAGTGATTATTTTTCTTGATTTGCACGATACGTCAAATAATAAACTAACCAAATAGGCTTGATTTGCATATCAAACTAGGGCATGAAATGGAGCAAAGAAAACTGCAGGTACTAGTTATTTAACTGATCTGGTTAAAGATGTGCAAACACAGCAGTGGATGTTAAGACTGAAAAGGAGGGAACTGAGATGTTCAATGTTCCAAGATATGACGGTCACCAATTTGGATGGCCTTAAAAAGGAAATGGATTCATGATTATATCTTATAATGTATGTTTTATCACTTTGTTGTTTGTTGTACATGAGACCTTATGCACTGGAGACAAATTCCATGTATGTCCAATCATACTTGGCCAATAAAGCTATTCCTATTCCGCTCCACTTCTCTCCACCCTACCCTACCCTACCCTACCCTACTCTACTTTACTCTACTCTACTCTACTCTACTCTACTCTACTCTACTCTACTTTACATGGGGAATAGGTTTATCAATGTTGAAGACTCACAGTTACCTTTAGGTTGGAGTCAGCATGCCTAGTGGGAGGAAAGGAAATGCCTTCATCTCTTGCTTGGGCACCTCAGAGACATCTGGTTACCCACTGTGAGAAACAAAGTGTTGGACTAAGATGAGCTTTGGGCTGATCCTACAGAGTTACTCTTATATTCTCAGGAATGATGTAATATAATATTGAAGTGTTTACTTTCTCCAGCCAGCTGAATATAATTGTCTGGTAAAGAGTTTTTGGACTCTTGAAAGACTGCATATTTTTTGTGAACGTTCAGTTTGACTATGGTAGTTAAAAATATTGCTTTAATACAGATTTTTAATACAATTTCTTCTTTTTGTACCCTGCCTGATAAGCATTTCTGCATCACTTGGAGGCTTGCATTTCTTCAAAAATGTTTTTTGTCTTTCACTTTATGGCAAATATTATAATTACAGGTAGGCCTTGACTTATGTTTACAATTTGGGACCAGATATTCCATTGCTAAGCAAATCATTATTAAGTGAATCAAGCCTGATTTTATGATTTTTTTTACCACAGTTGTTAAGTAAATGACTGCAGTTATTAAGTGAATCATGCATCATTCTGGCTCCTACCATTGCTGGTCAGAAAACCCCACGGGAGGTCACAAATGATGATCACATGACCCCAAAATGCTGCAACCATTGTCAATACATGCTAATTGACAAATGTCCAAATTTTGGTCACATGACCATGGGGATGCCGCAATGGTCATAAGTCCAAGGACCAGCTGCAAGTCACTTTTCACTGCTTTTGGAACTGAACAGTTGCTGAATGCATGGTCATGAGTCAAGGACTACCTGAATTCATCTTGGCCTCACCTTGTTTTTTGGAACTGAAAAATGACTGTTTTTAATGTTGCTATTAATTGCTTTCCCCTACCCTTACACAAAGCCCAATGAGTGTGTGTGTGTGTGTGTGTATACATACATACATACATTATATATATATATATATATATATATAATTCTTTCCATCAAATGATTTAACAGGTTGGTGGAACCAAAACTGGTGTGGTGCGCTATGTAGGGGAGACGGATTTCGCCAAAGGGGAATGGTGTGGTGTGGAGTTGGATGAACCTCTGGGAAAGAACGACGGAGCTGTTGCTGGAACAAGGTAATTGTAGACACCTTTGGCACTATTTAGGCCACCAAGCCCAACATTCTGCTCAGTGCAGACTCCAATTTAATACATCTCTGTCGAATGTCTGTCCATCCTTGGGTTGAAATCAACATCAGAGAAGACCCCCTACTTCTCTGGGGGAATGAACTGCACTGAAAAATCACTTTCTGGTGGTTGGGTCAAGGTTTTTCCTAACTTTCTTCCAGACTTCCTTCGAAAAGTTAATTCATTATTTTGTCTCCTGAACTCTGAGGGTCAGAAGATGCATGCTTTCTTTAGAGCGTACAGGGATGTCTTGTTATATCTCCCCATCCCACTCCCATCTGTTCTCATTGTCTTCCTGTCAGGTTTGATTTTCCTCCCCATGATACTGTCTGAGCATGGATGAATGCCTGCCCCTGATTTAGTGTGTGGCATCCTTGAGCAGGTGTTGGAACTGCAGTATGCAGAGCGACCTGTTAGGGATGCTGACACATGTTCTGCCTTCCCATAATTTGAAATAATTGAGATTTGAAATGTTCTTCTTGGAACAGTGCAAAAGAGTGCATGCATTACTTGTCCTTACGCACACAGTAAGTGTTCCTGGGTGGTCTACAACCAAAGCAAAATATGCTAAGAGGGAAGGAAGTGAAGGATGCTGACCATTGCTTAGAAGATGATTGGGGGATGGTGAGATATGATGGTGTGGTAGGGGAGAGAGGGAACGAAATATACCATCTTGTTTTGTTTAGCCGAAACATGACACTACCAAGGTCTTCTAACCTTTGGTTCTAATGAACCATGGGTGGCCTGAAATTGGTAGATTCCAGATCATGATGTCTTGTTTTCAGTTCAAAAAAATAATAATAAAAGAAGCATTTTCCTCAGTTCAAGTGCCTCAACTTATGACCACAACTGAGCCCAAAATTTCTGTTGATAAGCAAAGCAAGTGAGTTTTGCCCCATTTTGCTCATGCTCCATGAGCCACAGTGGCGCAGTGGTTAGAGTGCCGTATTGCAGGCTACTTCTGCTGACTGCCAGCTGCCTGCAATTTGGCAGTTCAAATCCCACCAGGCTCATGGTTGACTCAGCCTTCCATCCTTCCGAGGTGGGTAAAATGAGGACCCAGATTGTTGGGGGAAATAGGCTGACTATGTAAACCGCTTAGAGAGGGCTGTAAAGCACTGTAAAGCGGTATATAAGTCTAAGTGCTATTGCGATTGCTATTTTACAACCTTTTTGCCACATTTGTTAAGCAAATCACAGTGGGTGTTATCCATATTCATGTCAGAAACCCCTAAAAAGCTAAGCGAAGGGTTCTTCTGGGCTGAAAGGATTTGCCAATGACAACACCATTGCCCAGGGGACACCCAATTGCTAAAAATAATGTAGTCTTTAAGGAGGCTCCTTTCATGTCTCCCAGGAGTTAAGCGAATCATGTGGCTGTGCCGTTGTAACTTGGAAAGGTTACTAAATGGATGGTTATAAGCAGGGGGTGGGGCTGCTGGAGGTTTGCAGGGGTTCAGGAGAGCCCCCAGCTAAGATTCTGTGCAGTTTGGAGAACTTCCAAATCCCACTCCTGGCTGGCCCCGCCTACCCTGCCCCTCCCCTCCCAGGAGTCCCCACGTGGCCCCTTTTGGATGCAGGTAAGTGCAGGGTGTGCGCGGAGGCTCGGGGAGGGCAAAAAAAAACCCAGGCCTCCCGGAAGTTCGGGAAGGCCAAAAATGGGCCTGTTTCTGGCTTCCAGAGAGCCTCCGGAGCCCGGGAAGGGCAAAAACGCCCCCTGCGGTGGTGCAGGAGGCCAACTAAGCCACGCACACCATGGCCACACCCACCCAGCAACTGGGCAGAGACCCCTTGCTAACTTTTTTGAAGCCCATCCCTGCCTGGTTGTAAGTCAATAGATGCCTGTAAGTCTATAGTTCTTTTGTTTTTATTTCACACAAAGCCCTGGTGCAACAGGTGTTCTAGCCATAGTGGAAAATCAAAGTCTTATCTACGTTTCTTGGCACTCAGCACTGCACAGAAGCTATCCATTGCTGTCACCACAACACACCCACAAGATCAGAGGACACTCGTCAGCTTTGTCGGTGACTCAGCCCTGCATGGATGCATCAGTCAGTTTCTTGGTGTTGTTTTTCTCTTACACTGGTAATATTCTAGAGCCTTTCAAGGGCAGCAGGATTCGATTTGTAGACTGAGTCCAATTGCAAGTTAAGGTCTGTGATAATGAGGAGGGTATGCTTATGAATTTTGGGATTTGCAGCCCCCAAACATCTGGAAAACGCCAGGTTAGAGAAGGCTGGTCTGTTGATCGCTATTTCATTACGTGGTATGGAAGACCAAGGAATGGCTTGGCGGGGAAATGTCTTTGCCACTAGATCCCCTACCTTTTTTTTTCCTGACATCTCGTTGAAAGCATCCAAACAAGTGTTTTTGTATTTATTTGGAAAAGGCAGGTAGAAGCCGTGGTTTGCAGCTGGCCTCTTCTCCCCAGCACGGCACAGTTTTCCTTCAGCTTTCAGTGCTAATGCTTGAGCAATTCCTCCTCTATGCAGGCAGGCAGTTTGGGACAGCTGCCAGCTCACTGTGTGTGCTTGTGGGTATCCACAAATTGGAAGCAATGTTCTGGAACAGCTGCTCACATCTGGGCAAATGACTTGGCAGGACTATAAAAACCTTCCCTTGGTTTTTCACTACTTGCTGCCACATCATATTACTGGCAATTCCAAACCTCCCCCCCACTGTTCCCTCCAATTTTCTGCGGCTTGCCTTGATTTTCATTCTCTTTTTGTGGAAAAGGTGCCATTGTTTTGCCTTCTGGCCATTGGAAATGTGAGAGCAGCTCTTCTCCTTTTGAAAATCTTTGGCTTTCCAAACCTTCACCTTCTATAACTTTGGGTAACTACAGTCCTTAACTGAGGATAACGGGAATGAAAAGTCCCTTTATCAGAAAACATCAGACATTGAAAGGCTGGCTAATATATTGTTGGTAAGAATAAGGAGAGGGAGGAGGAGGGAGGGTGGGGAGAGAGAGAGGAGAGAGGGAGGGAGGGAGGGAGAGAGAAAGAGAGAGAGAACAAAAGCTAAATTACAGGCATGGGATGTTATCATACAACAGCTTTGTTGTTTATTAATACAGGTAGTCCTTGACTTCCAACCACAATTACAGTTGGAATTTCTGTTGCTAAGTGGTGTGGCCACAAAGCGCAGTGTCACAAAATTGCATCACTTAGTGGCAGTCTCTGTTGCCATTGTTAACAGGATGCCATTATTAAGCAAATTTCACCCCATCCAAGCCATTCTGGCCTTGATCTCTCTCAGCCCCGAGCCTCAGTTCTTCTACCTCCCCTTCAACTCCCTGTCAGCGTTCCAGCAAACCTCCATTCCAGTCAATAACTCCGAGACAGACATATTTCAAAGGTACCTTTATTTGGAAATAGTAACTGGCACATCTGTGGAATTCTTTGCAAAAGTCAAAACTACAAATCCATCTCCCCTTAGCCATCACCACATCCACATGGTCCAATCATCATCCGTCCTAAACTAAGATTCCCATTTCATTATACGCCACACTCAGTGACCTTGAACCAAACAAAAGAATTTTATTTTTTCTAACTAGATATATTCAAATGCATTCCTCCCTCCCACTTTCTCAGGCTCAATTGTGGCAGCATGGGAGCATCGCATCTCAATATGGCTTCCAAAGCTGACACGCCCCAGAATTGCCTATTCACTCCATCTCTGCCCATTTGGCTGACCTGCACCCTGTTTTTGAGGGATTGGAAAGCAGCCCCAAACCAAACAGCTCTGAGGCTGTTTGTCAAACTGTGTCTGAAGGGTTTCTTAGTGCGTCGGGGCTTCAAGAAGCCCCCGAGCAACAGTGCGAAGCCACAGCCATCCCTGGAAATTTCAGCCACCCCAATCCTGTCCAGCAGAGTGGAGCAAAACCACCATGCCCCAGGACGCTCCAACCGTGCGGCGCGAAGCTGCTGTGTCCCAGGAAGCTTCAAGAGTTCAGTGCACAGCCACCTTAACCTGGAAAGCTTCCAACAGTGAGGCACAAAACTGCAGAATCACGGGAAACGCCCCACTGTAATCCCATTCTCAGTCGCCCTTGCCATCCGGCCTCCCCAGCTGACCTTAACCATCATCTTGTTCCCACTGCTGATAAGTTGTGCCCATCCTGGCCCTTTGCAAGGCAGTTGTTGGCCACGTGAAGCCACCTTCCCCAGGACTCACAAGAATGACATGTGCTGTTTGAACCGTGATGCGACGAGTGGCCTTGGGAAGAAGGCCTGGTGTGGCCAGCGGCTGCTTCACATAGAGTCAGGCTGGGCATGCAGTGGAAGGAAGACCCCAAAGGGCAGCTGGTTCTGGCAGGTTCTATGGAGGCCAGGGCAGCTGGTGGGTGGGTGGGTGGGGCAGCTGGGCTTCTGCACTGTGATGTTGGGGTTGCTGGCCATGGTGTTAGGATTGAGGCAGGATTTCTCAGTGGAGGTGCCAGCACTGGGCTGAAGTGGAGGCCTAGAGGTGATGGTGGCAGCTGGCTGAGACTGCTAAAGTCCTTATGCCTTTACTTCAGTCACAGCCTCATTACGGTCACCCAGGAATGCTGCTGGGCAGGCTGGCCACAGATGTGGGAGAGATAGGTGGGTGGGGAAGGGCAGAAGTACCTCTGCAGTCATAAGTGCGGGGAAGCTGCTGGACCCCTGAATTTACGAGTTACAGCGACATTGAAAAAAATTAGTTTTATGACCGTTTTTCAAACGTACAACCATCACAGCACCCTGTGGTCACGTGATCAAAATGTAGACACTTGGCAACTAGCATATGACAATTGCATTGTCCCAGGATCACATGATCACTATGTCAGGGCTCTGGCACCCACCCCCATTCAAATCATGATTCTCTCAAGAGTTAAAAAAAATCATTTATTAGGAGTGAACATGCCGGCGTTACCTGAGTGTAGCCGACTCTGAGACACATCATTCATTTTACCCTTGACCCTGGTCTTCCCCCCACCCCCTGGATGTATATTCTCCAATGGGACACGTCCCTAGTTGACGCACTATTTGTAACCTTCCCAGCTGGCCTCTGACAAGCAAAATCAATGGAGGAAGCCAGATTCGCTTAACGTTAACGACTGCATTATTCACTTAACGACTGAATGACTTGCAGTGGAAAAAGGTCATAAAATGGGGCAAAGCTCAGCTATCTTGCTTAGCAGTGGAAGTTTTGGGCTCAATTATGGTCATAAGTCAAGGACTATGTGTGTACCTTGATTATCATACTTTATTGGGCATTTTAATCAATTCATTGTAGTGTTTCGATTATCAGGTATTTTTAAAAAAACATTTTAAATATTTTTTTCTGATAATCAAAACACTATAATGAACTAATTAAAATGTTTGTTTCCTTTTGAAATACCTGCACAATATACAGTTAGCCTCTTTGGTGTATCTTGAAAAGGTAAAATCAGCTGTACGTGATTATAATCCAGAAGCCCCAATCCTGGTGATCTTTGCATCAGATGTCACACTTTAAGGACAATCGAGGGGTGAATACAGATTCAACCAAGAGCGTAGCATCTGGTGTAAATAAATCCACACACCGAGTTGATGGTTTATTTTATCTATCCATAAAGCCAAGTTGGGCTTTGATAATGGACTTACAATTGTTCAAAAAGAATCATTCTTCAAGTTTTTAATATGACTGCAGAGGAAATCATTAAATGCACAGGGAGTCATTCCATTAGCTGGATTTAACTTTAATTTTATTTAATCAGATCAAGCTTCATTGACTTGGTCCGCCCACTCATGGCTCACAGTCCAGAAAGAGTTGTAAGTTCTCAGCTTGGCTGTTCTCTGGGAGGCATGTTAAATTTATAACTGACGCACACAGTAGAGAAGAGAATGTGAAACTGGAAATGCTTTTACGCTGGGAAATGGCTGAAAAATCACTTCCTTCTTTCATCTCCAGATATTTTCAGTGCCCACCAAAGTTTGGCCTCTTTGCTCCTATCCATAAGGTCATCCGGATTGGGTTCCCATCCACCAGCCCAGCCAAAGCGAAGAAAAGTAAGAGGATGGCCATGGGGGTCTCAGCCTTGGCTCACAGTCCCAGCAGCTCGTCTATCAGCTCTGTCAGTTCCGTGGCCTCCTCCGTAGGGGGAAGGCCTAGCCGGAGTGGACTGGTAAGGTTCATCTCATAGGGATTCAGAACAAGCCTTGATAATGTCTCATGCATGATGGTGTAATCATACAGGTACCATGAATCATATAACAGATGTCTAATGTGTAATGCCTATGTGTCACTTGTCCTTTTTCTAAAAGACCTTTTCAGTGACCATCCAAGCTCCAGCCCCAGCATCACTGAGCTTGCAATTCCCTTCCCATTACTTGAGAAGAGAGGATACAAGGACTGTTGCTCAAATATATGGTATATCTCAGGGCAATGTTTCTCAGCCGTAGTGATTTGGAAATGTGTGGACTTCAACTTCCAGAATTTCCCAGCCAGCATGATGGCTGGGGAATTTGGGGAGTTAAGTCCTCACATCTTCAAATTGCCAAGGTTGAAAAACACTGTTTACTTATGATTGTTTTTTTCTCTCAGAAACATACAATTTTGAAAGAGAAATGGACAAGCTGGGGTGTACGGCCCAGTTGGTTCTTCCAAGATGGCCTCCATCAACAACCATTGTTCTTGGCGGTATAATCAAAGAGGAAATGGTGACTGGGTTCATACATGGCATTTGAGCCATTTCCTGTTAACTATATTTGAAATCAGAGGTGTTAAACTCAAGGCCCGCGGATCAGAGGTGGCCCACAGGATGCATAGATCTCATCCGTGGGGCCACCCTGGAAACAGCAAAGGACCAGCCCACAATGCCTTTGCCAGAGAAAATTGAATGTGCCCCCCCCCCCCCCCAAGCTCCGTTTTCGCTGGCAGAGGGTTGCAGGAGGCAGGAGTTTGGGAGCCCATTTTTGCTGGCAGAGCACTTGGCCCATCCTGGCCACCCCCCTCCACCCCCCCTCCGCAAGATCAAAAAACTTTATGCAGCCCTCAATGAAATCAAGTTTGACACCCCTGTTTTAAATCATAATTGGCTGAGGTCATGGAGAGATCTAAGCCATAAATCAGGATTTCCAAACCAGAGTGATTAGAGTCACATAACATTTAAAGCAAAAACCCATCAAAGGCACCTTTTATCACAGTGCATTGTGTGAACTCCATTGTTGAGTCTGCCTTCTTGGCCTGACTGGCACCAACACCATTTTCATTTCTCTCTTCCTCAGTTTTTCATCTAAAACCCGATAGGATAGTGGATGGTTTTGAGGACAGATTAGGCAGGAAAGAGTTCATCATGTCCAGCTTAAATGCATTTATGTGTTCAGGCTGTATTTTGATGCTCAATTTTGCGGCAATGTTAAAGACATAAAGGAAGTGGCTAACTGAATTTTCTCCATTGTGGTTTTCCAATGCTTCTTCTGCAGCTGACCGAGACCTCTTCTCGCTATGCCCGGAAGATCTCTGGCACGACAGCCCTTCAGGAAGCATTGAAGGAGAAGCAGCAGCACATCGAGCAGCTCCTGGCTGAGCGTGACCTGGAGCGTGCTGAAGTTGCTAAGGCAACCAGCCGCATATGTGAGGTGGAGAAGGAGATTGCCATCTTGAAAGCTCAGCACGAGCAGGTAGGTAGACCTGAGCAGGTGAGAACTGAAACAGGAAGCGTAATGGTATGTGGGAATGACCTTGAGAGATGGAGGAAGAGATGCTGCCTAGGGAATGGTCATATAAGAGAAATAGCATACAAATGAATAAAGGGCAAAAAAGAGGCTTAGCCCAGGTTCTCAGGCTGTAAAGGAGATGGCAGGAGAACTGTACTTTCAGACTTGCAAGATTCTGTTAATGTAGCTTTACAATAAAGTAGAACTGTTTTTTCTGGTTGTGTTTCCTGTCAGACCTACCTGAGAAGGTTGACAAGAAGCCAGGAAGGAAAAGCATCTGATTTATAACACAATGAATTATTTATTATTAAGCACTAAGTATGACTTTGGTTTGCAAGCACAAAATCGGTCCATCATTATTAGCAGAAATAATCATTTGTTATTTGGTATTCACCAAGCTTCATCTAAAGCAGGCTTTCCCAACCATGGCAATGTCCAGGTGGATGGCCTTCAAATTCCAGAACCAGCAGGGTCATCAATGAGAACTCTGAAAGTTAAAGCCCACACGCCTGGAAGTTGCCAAGATTGGGAAACCTAGCACTGAACAGTGTACAGGTAGTCCTCAACTTATGACCACAATTGAGCAAAAATTTCTATTGCTAAGTGAGAAAGTTGTTAAATGAGTTTTGCCTCATTTGATGACTTTTCTTGCCACAGTGAATCCCTGCAGTTAGTAAAAACAGTTGTTAAGTGAATCTGGCTTCCCCAGTGACTTCGCTTGTGAGAACGTGATGGTGAGGATCACCATCAAAAGTGATCATATGACCCTGGGACACTGCAACCCATCAACGAATACGATGTGTTGATGGGGGTGCTGCAACGGTTGTAAATGTGAAAAATGGTTGTATGTCGCTTTTTTCAGTGCTGTTGTAACTTCGGACAGATGGTTGTAACTCAAGGACTACTTGTATAACCAATACGGGAGTCTTACAGATTTTGCTCACCTGCTGCCATCGGCCTTGTCTATGTAGATTGGGGGTGTCAAACTCAAGGCCTGCGGTCTGGATCTGGCCTGCAGGGCTACCCTGGAAACAGCAAAGGAGAGCCCATTTTCGCTGCAGAGTGCTCGGGCCACCACAAATGCCCCCAACACGAGTGAGGTCAAGTTGGCCACTCCCACCCTGGCCCCCAAGGTCAAAAACAACCCTGATGTGACCTTCAATGAAATCGAGCTTGACAGCCCTGACGTAGATTAAACCTATCTGCTATTGTTCCGGTTGAGTTTATGCTTTTCCATTAGCCACATGTATTTGTGCATGCACACATGCTGTAGGTAGACTTTTAGAACATCAGGCAATTCCTGCAGAAATTCTTAGACGTTGAATAAAACTGTTAAGTAAATATACCCCAATTCTGGTTGGCATCATGATGGAAAATTGCCAGGCAGCCTTGTGAAATATCTCCTGAGTTCCTGGGGGGGGGGGGAAAGGCAGACAATAGGTAAAATCCTATGGGAAACTAATTTTTGCCAGGTTCATTTATTTTGGTCATTTCCTTTTCTTAGTGAGCAAGAATAACAAGTAAGAGTGGTGAAATTATGACTGTGTAACCTGGTACAATGCTGGAAAATTGATTGGGCTTTTTCTTTTTTGTTTCATTTTTAGTATATAACAGAAACTGAGGGAAATTTGCAAAGAGCACGAGCCTTGCTGGAGGGAGCCCAGAAGGAGAAAGTAGAGCTGCTGAACCAGTTAGAAGAGGAGAAAAGGTATCCATAATTTGAGGGTTGGGGAGTTGAAAATAGAATGGATGTGAAATATGACTTGTTTGCTTAAAGGTAAAGGTTCCTCTCGCACATACGTGCTAGTCGTTTCCAGCTCTAGGGGGCGGTGCTCATCTCTGTTACAAAGCCAAAGAGCCAGCGCTGTCCAAAGACGTCTCCGTGGTCAAGTGGCCGGCATGACTAAACGCTGAAGGCATACAGAATGCTGTTACCTTCCCACCACCATAGTGGTCCCTAATTTTCTATTTGCATTTTTATATGCTTTCAAACTGCTAGGCTTGGCAGAAGCTGGGACAAGTAACAGGAGCTCACTCTGTTACGCAGCACTAGGGATTCGAACCGCCTTTCTGATCGACAAGCTCAGCATCTTAGCCACTGAGCCACTGCGTCCCTTTTGTTTGCTTAGGAGAAGGCAAATAATCAAATTTGGTGGTGCAGTGGTTAGAATGCAGTATTGCAGGCTAATTCTGTTGACTGCCAGCAGTTCGATTCTCACTGGCTCAAGGTTGACTCAGCCTTCCATCCTTCTGAGGTGGGTAAAATGAGGAACCAGATTGTTGGGGGAAAGAGGCTGACTCTGTAAACCGCTTAGAGAGGGCTGTAAAAGCACTGTGAAGCGGTATATAAGTGCTATTGCTGTTGGTGACAATGTATTAATATTGAAGTGGGTTACAGGTAGTACTTGACTTGCAACCACAATTGGGACTGGAATCTTGGTCGTTGAACAAATCAGTATTGAACACCCAGATTGCAATCACATGACGATTCCAAGTACCAGTTGGAAGTATAGGTAGTCCTCGACTTAACAACAAGCATTGAGCCCAAAATTTCCCATTGTCACATGAGACAGTTTTTAAGTGAATTTTTCCCCATTTTAAGACCTGTCTGGCCATCACTGTTAAATGAATCTCTGCAGTTGTTAAGTTAGTCACAGAATTGTTAAGCGAATTTGGCTTTGCTTGTCAGAAGATCAGAAAAGGGGCTCATGTGACTCTGGGACACTGCAACCATCATAAATATGAGCCAGTTGCCAAGACTTTGAATTTTGATTACATGACCATGGAGACGCTGCAGATGGCCCTAAGTGTGAAAAACAGTCATAAATCACTTTTTTCAGTGCCATTGTTATTTTGAACACGGAATGAAGTGTCACAAGTTCAAACAGTCACTGAACAAGGGGTCGTTAACCAAGGATGGCCTGTAATGTGCTAGGGAGCAGGAGAGAGCCAGCTTGGTGTCATGGTTAGGGTATCAAGCTAGAAACAGGAAGAGTGAGTTCTAGTCTTGCCTTGGCCATAAACCCAGCTCGATGACCTTGCGCCAGTCATTCTCTCTCAGCCCTAGGAAGGAAACAATGAAAACCACTTCCAAAATCTTGCCCAAAAAACTGCAGGGATTTATCCAAACAGTCACCAGGAGACAATGCTGACTAAAACAGAGGGGGGGAAAAAGAACATTAGGAGTGATGATCATTCTATAAACAGCAATACATCAACTTGTTTGAGCTCCATTTCATAATCTGAGCTACATGGTATAAGAGAGTGGATGTAATAACTTTGGAAATTTTTCCATGTCACCGCTTTCTTCTGACTTTTCCCTCCTTTTACAGGAAGGTAGAGGATTTACAGTTCCGAGTTGAAGAAGAATCCATTACAAAGGGAGATTTGGAGGTAATCAACAGCATGGGCTTTCTTTATTAGAATTTATGCACTAGCCGGAAGGATTGATGATCTCTTCTGCACTGATTCCCTGTCATCTCCTTGTCTTTTAATAAATTGAGTTTTGATTGGCTAATGCGGGCTCTTACATGTGTTTTGCAGAATGGCATAGGCAAAATAACATCGCGGGGTGTCCCACAGAGAATATGACTAGTCTGTTTTTTATAGACAATCACTGAAACGGGGTGTGTGTTGTGTTCCAATTTTTATTTGCTTATTTTGAACTGTTTTGGAACTTGTTTGGCTCAGTAAATTAGTGTGTAGATCAAATCACAAGCAAGGGTAAAGATCACGTATGCTCACTTATTCTAGTTTTATTTCTAATTTAAACAGAATCTGTTTGAGTTCTTAGTAAGTAGGGGAAATGGTATCTCCAGATTCTCAGTCATCCAGGTCATGGTTGTTCCAAAGGTGCTTTTTCAAAAGACAGCTGTTTTTCCTTGAAGACGTTGCGCTTCTCATCCAGTTCTGACTTCAAAACTAAAGAAGCTTCTTGGATGAAAAGTCTTCAAGGAAAAAAACAACATCCTGTTGCCTTTTGGAGAGAAAAAAAACACCTTTGGGATGTCTAAGATGGATTTGACATGAATTGTGGCCAAGCATCTTATCTCTGGACCAATAACTGATGCGAGGAGATTGTCTGGAGCAGCTGTTTGAGCTTCTTTGGGAGGGGAATTCAACTGGAGTTGTGACACACCAATGCATTTAATAGACTGTGTCTGTGTTTACAGTTGTGAAGCGGATTGACTTGAAAACTGCCTTTCTTGCAAAATTGTTGCATTCACATCTTGCATCTTGTGTGGATAGCTGGCCCTGTGTTTACCAATCTGGTCCTTCTCCCCGTCCCTGTTGTGTAAACTGTCTTTCTTCATTTTGTATACTGAAGAAGATAATTTGCAGGCATCTCCATTATGATTATTATTATTATTATTCCCTTGTTCTCTCCTGTTTGCTTTCTTTTCTTCCTTTGGTTTCCTTCCTGATGTGTGACCAGACTCAGACGCAGCTGGAGCATGCTCGAATACGGGAGCTCGAACAGAGCCTCCTGTTTGAGAAGACCCAGGCAGCAAAGCTTCTCAGAGAATTGGAGGAGAGCAGGGTAATCCACCCAAACACCTTTGCTGCCCCACCTCATGCTAGCCAACGCCTGCAGATTCAATTGCTTGCTGGCTATGTTGATAACTCCCTATAGTTTTCGTTTTTTGTTTTAATTTGAGCTTCCATGTTTCATGTTAACATCTCGTTTTGCAATTACTCCCATACTCTCCACAATTTCTTCTCCATTTCTCTGGAGATGGTAACACTTTGTAGTTTTGCCTTCTTGGTCTATTGGACGAATCCTTCTTTTGATTTCCATTCTGCAGCTTTCCATGCTATCATTTGGATTGGACCGACTTTGCCACTCATCATCCAGTTTAACAGTAATCATCGGTTGAATACAGAAAGCTATTTACCTGATGATAGGCTCTTGGCTTTGCAAGCAGTTGTGTCTTTTCATGGTGGTATCCCATGAATAAGAGGCTGTTCTTCTGTCTCCAACCTCACCATCGCACCCCATTGGAAAGCAGGGGGGAGGAGGCACAATTCGTTCCCCCTTTTTTCCCCTCACCTGAAACCCCTCGCCAGCTCTCTCCATGCAATTCTCTGCACGTGACTTGGCCCTTGGTAAATGGCAAGCTGTATTCACCCGTCACCATTGCAGAGTTGCTTGGGCCCCCAGGAATTCTGCATCATAACTTAATTCTGCAGGTTCAGCGTTTTGGAAAGCATGGTAAAAACAAGGATGTAGGTGTCAGGATTCTTATCGAAAAGGATGGCATTAGATACTGGGATAAAGCTGGGTCCTTGAAGATCTATCTCTTTTTGCTGTGCCTATTTCATCTACCCGAATTTAATCTAATAGCCTGCTCATTTTTAATCCTGGATCTTAGAGCACAGGAGGATCCTATATAATTGCCGATTTGGGTACTAACTCAGAACAGACTTACAAGCCCTGTCTATCATGTATCGTCGAGTCATATTCAAAGCAGGGATGGGCTGCTACCGGTTCACACTGGTTCTGGTGAACCGCTAGCTAATTTTATGGCCAGTTTGGCAAACCAGCGAATCCCACCCCTGGCTGGCCCTGCCCTCCCCTCCCTCCCTTCCCAAGAGTCCCCATGTGGCCTGTTTTGGATCGCAGGTAAGTACGGAGGCTCGGAGAGGGTGAAAAACAGGCCTCCCGGAAGTTCTGGAAGGCCGGAAACGGGAGGATATTTTCACACTCCCAGAGGCTCGACAAAGGCCTCCGGAGCCCGGGGGGTGGAAAACGGGCCTCCTGGAAGTTCTGGAAGGCTGGAAATAGGCCCATTTCCAGCCTACGGAGATCCTCTGGAGCCCAGGGAGGCCATTTTCGCCCTCCTGGAGGCTCGAGGAAAGCCTCCGGAGCCTAGGGAGGGTGAAAATGCCCCCCCCCCCCAGCCCATTTTTGCTCCCAGACCAGGGTGGTGCAGGAAGCTGAGTAGGCCACGCACACCATGGCCATGCCCATCCAGCAACCAGGCAGAGAAACGGTTGCTAAATTTTTTGAAGCCCACCCCTGATTCAAAGCCTGGAGTGTATTTCATGCCTGGGAACCCGATTTTGTCCCTGTGGAGTTATCCAAGGGAAGAGGGAATTTGAAAGGCCCAATCAATCTGCAGACAAGTGTAGTAGATACATTGGTCTTTGGGCACACTAATAGTCTCTCATGACATCACCATGTACGAAAAATGCTGTCAGGTTTCAGTGAAAGTTCAAATAGCTCTTTTTTCTAGCCTGCTTTGCAATTTGACAATCCTATAAGAGATTCAGAAAATTCAGAAAATTCCAAATTAAAATCCCTTTCAGCAACAAGAACCAGGCATTCTGGATTTGGTGCTTAAGTCTTCTAGAATGTTGTGTTTTCATGCGTAATTCTTAATCCCATAGTTAGACATAGCTTCTGGGTACCATATTCTTTTAAAGTTTATTCATTTGATTAGATTTATTACTAGATTTCTTCCAAGAGACTGAAGTAATTCCATGGAGATTTCCTTTTATTTTATCCCCACAACAGGATCCCTTGAGATAGGTTGGACTCAAAGAGGAGGAGTGACCCAAAGCCAGTCCCTTATGAACTTTAACGGGTGAAGGTAGACTAGAACAAGGGGTATGTTTCTTGTACAGGTAGTCCTTGATTTATGACCACCATTGGGTCATAACTGTGGAATCCCTGTTGCTAAGTAAGGGGGTTGTTAAGTGATTGGTACCCAATTTTATTAATCATATGACCTTGGGAAACTGCAGCCATTGTAAATACCCAAATTTTGATCACATGACTGTGGGGATACATGTTCTAGTTGTCATTTTCTTCAGTGCCATTAGAACTTTGAATGGTTGCCAAATGAATGGTTATAAGTCAAGGAGTACTAGTATAGTTCACCTGTAGTGGTATACCGCATTGAGTCTTGGGATTGGCCCAAAGTCTCTGGGAAAACTTCTGTGACTAAGAGACACTAGATCCTGGATCTCCTAATCCTAGTCCAGCATGATCACCACTACGCTATATTGGCTGAGAGAGAAGGAGAAAAGCCAAAAGTCACTCGGTGAATTTCTAATGGAGAGTAAGGTTAACCAGAACTCAGGCCTCTCCCAGGTCTAGTCCAAGTTAGCCACTATACCAAGAACCACTGGTTCTCGATCCCCATCTATCAGTCTTTTGTGAAATCTACAGTATCTTTAAAAGAAAAAGAATCCTTTATCATGTGCAGTATTTTTAATTTATGATTTTCACCTCTGATGATGCCAGGATTTATCCATAGTTTGCCACTGTTCTGATCAAGGATGTATGGTGTTTTGTTACTAGACATAGGACTCATATATACAAAAATGATTCAATTTTTGTTTGTTTCTTTCATTATTAACGCTATATACAAAACCAGGAAAGCGGCTTATTCACATAGTCCTTTGGAGTTTTTCCTGCTAGTGTTTTTTTTTTTCACGATTTGTTTAGATTGAACTATTGTTAAATATTTGTAATTTTGCCTCGAGCTACTGGAGATGAGTGGAATATAACTTCGACAACATAAATAAATCAATTTGTGCTGTTATTACCCATTCTTCCCTCCAAAAAAATCTAAAAATTATCAGTACAAAAGGTAATACCAATATGGATAAAACAGGGCTATACTAGAGGAAATAGTTGCTGTTCAAAATGGAGGGCTACGTCTCTTTGTTATGTAGAAAAGTGTCATCTGTGTAACTGCTGCTGTCCAGATGTTAACTGTCTAGGGGCAACATAAAAGGTCTGTATTGATCTCTTTTTTTAAAAAAAGATTTTTGGTTTTAAAACCAATTTGCTTCCTCTCACCAGTTGAGGAATTTTATGGGAATGAAGCTTGACCCTTTGGGTTCTGCCAGAAGCATGCTTTGGGAGTAAATGAATGTTAGAACATTCTGGTCAATTTACTTTGTTTATTAATAAACTTTCAGAGAGGAAAAACGTATTGTGAGTCGGATTTGGCTTAGGAAAATTCCTTCTCTTGATAAAATTCATCCATCACACTAAAATATAATGTATTTTAAGATTAGCATCTATGACCTAATCAGTGTGATGTGCTGCTGTAAACATGGGAAGAGGTTTAGTTTCTACTGCCCCAAGGAATAAGATTATATTTGTGTTTGTTTGTTTTTTGAGTTCTGGTGTTCAGTTACTCAATTTGTGTAGCTGTCCACCTCAAACCAGTGACAGTAGGAAACAAACAAAACAAAACAAAACACAATACAAAAAAAGAAATCAAATATGAAATTATAAAATAAATAAAAATTAAATATAAATAGCAGCCAAGAGATATTATAATTCATCGGTATCTTTAAAAAAAGCCAGGAAATAGAATCCTTCACATAGTTGGGACCTGGGCATATTTCCAGGTTTTCAAGACCTTCCAAAAGACCAATGGGCTTCGAGCCATCCTCATCTCAGGATTAGGTTTCATGAGATTTTGATAGAGGAGAGGAGAGATTTCTGATGAACCTTAGGAGAAACTTTTGGAGTCCTAAGAGCGGTTCAATTAGTAACATCTATTATTGTGTGACAGATAGGCAGATTCCCCCTTGCTGTGACCTCAAATATGTAGCTCTGATTTTCCTCTATTAAGCAAAGGTTTGGATCCGAAACGTTTGTGTCCTCCTCTAACTTTCCACTCTGAATGTTTAGAGCTAGTATTGCAGTTGATTCAGCGGAACAGCCTTTATTGACAGATTTCTATTTCCTTTTTACCATGATTCATAAACTGAATGTGCTGTGCCCCATCAGTTTCCCAGCTGCTTCTAAGGCCCATCATTAAACATTAACCATGGTCAGCAGTTTGCTTATACATCTAGCACCATTCCTTACATATTCCTTTAAAACATTTCTGTTAATAACTTCTAACCAATTTCCACAGGTGGGTGGGAGGGTGGTTGGTTGGTTGGCTGGCTGGCTGGCTGATACTTCCTTTTACACCAGGGTAAACTATGCTACGAGCAAAGGGTCAGTGACTATAGAACAATTGAGCAAACCCAAATCTGACATGACCCAATTTAGCAGATTAGGGTTGAGAGTTGAAATGCCTTTTCATAGCCTTATGAGAAATAATCTGATATCAGCTGACAAGAATGATGCCATTTATTTATTTATTTATTTATTTTTCTTACTTTACTTTGTACTTTCAGCAGTCCACTATGCTGAACAAAAGGTTTGTTTTCAAGATGGAGAATGCTGGGACTGAAGGAGTAAGTTTTCAAAAGCTGCCCAGCATGCCTGCTAAACTCTCAAGTCTTGAGGTATTTAATCTGCAGTGTTTCTCAAACTTGACAACTTTTAAGGCGCATGGACTTCAACTCTCAGAATTCCCCAGCCGGCTGGCATGCTGGCTGAGGAGTTCTGGGAGTTGAAGTCCATATATCTTAAAGTTGCCAAGTTTGAGAAATCCTGGTCTATAAGTGATGAAGATGATTGCAGAGTTGACAGAGGGAATAGATTGCAGTCAAAAGTTTGAATTGTAGCATCACACCAGTGGTGCAATGAAATCCTAATTGAGGGGGGACCAGCATGTAGCATTCCAGACAGCAAGTGGCCAGTGTGTTATGGGGAAGGGAAAGGGGTTTTGTGCAGAAAACATATCCTGCGTTATTTTCTACCCAGTCTCATTCAATCTAAGAAAAAAAATGTGTTTTTAAACATTTCTTTTAAAGTGGAAGAGATATTATTGAAATTCTTATGGATAAAGGGTTGTTATGTTTAATTACAAAGTGGCCAAAGTGTATATGTCAATATCCCGTCTTTTGTTCTACATTATTAGCCTCCCTGCCTTCTCATATTGAATCCTAAATTATAACATCAGGAGCTGTTTCTACGGCAGAGATCTCCAACCGTGGCAACTTATGGACTTCAACTCCCAGAATTCCTCAGCCAGCAGTTGAAGTTCACAAGTCTTAAAGTTCCCACGTTGGAGACCCCTTTTCTAGGGAACTTTTCAGATTAGGAAGTGTGGCCACTCAGGGAGGCTTCAGAGCAGTGGGAAAAGATGCTACAGAAGACGACCTCTCCAGTCCTCATTAACAGTAATTCTAACTTAAATCTGAGCTGAGAAATATGGCCAAGACTTTTTGATGTTGCTTAAGAAGAAGACAGGAAACACTTTTTCCCGAGGAAGTAATTTTTAGAAACTTCAAAATAATTCATGATGTAGTATTAGGAAAAAGAAAAAATCGCCTTTATTTTGTTTCGAGTAGAGGTAGTCCTTGACTTACGACCACAATAGAAACAATAATTTCTATTGTTAAGCAAGCCAGTTGAATGAATTTTTGCTCCACTTTATAACTTTTCTTGCCACAGTTGTTAAGGGAATCACTGCAGTTTGTTAAGCCAGTAACACGTTTTTAAGTGAATCTGAGTTCCCCATTGCTTGTCAGATGGTCGCAAACAGGTGAGCCTATGACCCTGCAATTGTCATTAAATAGGAGTCAGTTGCCAAGCATCTGAAATTTGATCACGTGACTTTGGGGATGCTGCAAGGGTCGTAAGTGTGAAAAATGGTCGTAAGTGACTTTTTTCAGTACCATTGTAGCTTTGAACAGTCATTAAATGAACTGTTGTAAGTTGAGGACCACCTGTAAGCACAGCAAGGGAAGAATTTTTATCCCTGTGTTGCCATTTTCTTCTCATGAGAAGCTGTATCCGTATAACTTTGCTGTCTCATCTCCACTCATTTTTTCCAATGGCTAATCTGATTGTAAATTGTGGAATTTTCATCCCCCACCATATGGAGATCACCAGATTACAGGAGTATTGATTACAGGAGTATTGTTTTTTTTTTTTTAAGGAGAAGCGGTGATGTTTCCAGGCAAGGTTTTTTTCCTATTGCTTTCTAGAAAATTGCAAAAGACAGAATTGAACATAGTCTGATTCCAAAAGAAAGAAAAGCTCGATGGAAAATTTACCCTGGTGCAAAAACAAAAAAGAAAAAAAAAGGAAATCTAAAGCCTTCAGAGAATAAAATCTGTTTTACTGCATAGGTATTTGTAAGCTGCAATTATTCCTTTTCTAAGAGCTTTTTCACACATTTGGTTGCAAAAAAAAAAAAAAATCCAGTATGCTACTTAAGATATTTGTAATCCCTCTTCTGTCCATGCTATAGGATGGATGTTAGCAATACCAACACAAAAGACATTGGCATAATTTATTTAGGCAAGTTGTATAGGCATTTACTGTAACTACAGCCCATTTGCTAATTTATTTTGAGAACCCAGAAAACAATGTTGACCGTGTTGTATAAACATTTCATTTCATTCATATTCTTATAGTTACAGATTCAGAATTCTGGAGGTTGTAGTCCAGCACTTTAGCTGTGCACTAGACTGGGAAGGGTTGGTTAACACTTTTATGCATCCCTAGAAGATCTTATATTATACAGTAATATACTTTAAAAAAGAAAGCTTCCACAATGAGTGAAGAAGCTCTTTGGATTTTCAAGTACAGGGAAACTATGGCCATCCAGATGTTGTTGACTCCATCAGTCCTAGCCAATGGTTTTGGATGGATGATGGTCAGCTACATTCTGATGACAACTGGAGGGCCGCAAGTTACCCACAAGTGCATATGAAAATGCAACCACTGATTCTAATGCATGCTTGTATCCTTTTCATAATCTCTTTCAGTTAACTACCGTGGCAGAGAAGTCAAGAATCCTTCAGCTCGAGGAAGAGTTGACCTTAAGGCAAAGTGAGGTTGTGGAGTTGCGGCAATGTTTAAAGAATTCCCATCAGCCAGAATCTCCAGATCACAGCCTGGGCCTGCAGACAGAAGCTCTCCGCTTACGTGACCAGCTGTTTTCAGCCAACAAGGAGCACCAGAAAGAGAGTATCCAACTGAAAGAGAAGTATGAGAGGACTTTGAAGAAGCACCAGCAGGAGGTTGAAAAGTTGAAAACTGTCAATGAAAAGTACTCCCAAGAAATTGTGGACCTCAAACAAAAAGTTCAGCAGGCCACCAATGAGAACATGGGCTTAATGGACAACTGGAAGTCAAAGCTGGATATGTTAGCATCAGACCATCAGAAATCATTGGAGGATTTCAAGGCTACTTTGAACACAGGCTCTGACAGCCAGCATAAGGAAATAGTGGAGCTGAAAGCTGTAGTAGAAAGCGTCAAATTGGAGCACCACTTAGAGCTGGAGAACCTAAAAGCTAAGCATAACATTGAGATGGCAGTTCATATTAAAGAGAAGGAAGGCCTTAAGCTGAAGGTACAAGAAGTCAAGGAGGAAAAGGAAGAAAGCGACAATAATTGGAAGAGCCAGTTGGAAACCAAAACAAACCAGCAGCTTATGGAACTTCAGGACCTGAAGGATAAATGTCGAGATGCTGACCTCAGAGTTCATGAACTGGAGAAGCTACACAGTGATTACAAAGACCAGGCACAAGCCATAGCTTTCTTGAAAGAGCAGATCTCCTTGGCTGAGAAAAAGATGTTGGACTATGAGACCCTGCAGAAAACTGAGGTTCAGAGTAAACAAGAGATTCAGTGGTTACAGGAGAAAGTTCTTGTGTTAGAGAATAAATTGCACTCCATGGAGCCCCTCCACCCTTCCCAACCCACCAATGTGAGTGTTTGAATTGAAAGGCCAGCGTCCACGAGTAGCTATTGGCTTTTTAAAAGAAATTTGTCATGGATCCCTATCTTTATTATTTTGTTTTTTATTTTACTTATTAATATATAAGTGAAAGAGTGCAACATTTAAACAGCTTAAGCTGTTAGCTAGATTTTTTTCCCCTAAACTGGCCACTACGTGAGGCAGCTTGAATTCCTTCAAAAGGAAGTTCAACCATCAACGAACATGGATTAATTAATGATTTTGGACATTAATTCATTCATTCAGGGTTCTATTTTGTTTATTATACTTAATTCATAAATTAATGAATCAACATTTATTTTTCCTTATGAATTGAGGTACATTAGGATAAGTAGGTTCTTGTGAACTTACTATTTCAGAGTATTGAGGAAATATACAGGTGGAAGAAGGAAAACAGGCTGAAATGGTGATCACTTTAAATCTTGGTTTCTATAAAATCCTGATTCTCCAGAATGTGCACGCAGTGGACAAATTAAATCGTGTTTATCATTTACATAATAATATACTATTGTAATTTATATAACTTGCATGATTACATCTCATATTTATGTCATTTATGTCATTTTCATGACATTGTTGCTCCAACAGCATAAATTACATTTTGCTGATAAATTCTTAGATTCAAAGGATTTTTTAGAATTATGGAAATCTTCCCCCAATTAATACTTCAAAATGACGTTTTATTAAAGGAAAATATTTATATATAAGGGTTGAAGTCAGGGGTCCCTGGTGCTCTCTGAGCTTGGTTGTCTTCTTGCAGACCTTTCATTACCAAACCAGGTAATATCATCAGTGATGATGTTATCTAGCTTGGGGAATCAAATGTCTGCAAGAAAACAACCAAACTCAAAAAGCACTGATGTTTCATTGTAATGCATAGTTAAGGAAGGAAGTCAAAGCCATTTCAAAAAAAGGACATACTATATCCTATTTCAAGGATTAAAGTAAGAGAAAATTGAAAAATATAAGGGGAAGATTATGCCAATGGTAACATAGAGGGGACTGTGAAGAACTTATTCTGAACATAATTAAATGATTGCAGTAAGAAGATATTCAGTAATCTCAACTTGGTGGAATTCATTAGAAAAAGGAATCAAACTTTAAATATCTATTAACTTGCAACTATTCAGTTAGCAACCATCCAAAGGTACACTGGCACTGAAAAAGATGACTTATGACCAGTCCTTGCATTTATGACTTGTCACAGCATCCTCGGTATCATGTGATCAAAATCGGAGCATTTGGCAGCCTGCATGTATTTTATCATCCCAGGGGGATGTGATTGCCATTTGCAACTTCCCAGCTGGCTTCCGACGCACAAAGTCAATAAGGGGCTTGCTTAATGGCCACAATAAATTGAGGACTATCTGCAATGCTATACCACAGCTCCCTGTTTCTTAACTTTGGAATAAGACAAGCTATGAAATCGTGATTGAAATGAATTTAACATTCCAAAGCTTCTGTTGAAGCTGGGGACAATGATTTTGTTAAGACAGGAAACTGATTTGAGGGTTCATAGATCAGTTTGAGTCCACAGTTGATAAACTACTAGCTACAAAACTTCTGGTTTGATTGCTGCAGGCCACAAAATTTGATTGCATGCAAGAGAGAAAGCTTATGTATGTTTTATTAAGACGCATCATTTATTCATTCAGAGGTTACAAAGCTTGTTTCAATAGTTCATGAGATTTTACTTTGATATGATAAAAGCAAAACATTCGATCTTTACTGGAGGGTATGTATAAAACTAGCCATGTCTGTCATAAATCAATGGAAGGTATAAACATGGAAGAGAGCCAGTTGGTGTAGTGGTTAAGGCACCCATAGTAGAAACTGTGAAACTGGCAGTTCTAGTCCTGCTTAAGCACAAAGGCAGCTGGGGCCAGTCACTCTCTCTCAGCTCTAGGAAGAAGGCAATGGCAAGCCAAGAAAGCTTCAGGAAGTTTATCCAGGCAGTTGCCAGGAGTTGAAACTGATTTGAAGGCATAAATAGACATAAACATTAAAAGCACCAATAGAATTGATTTCAGGTGTTGTCCAGAAGATCTGATGGGTATGCACATTTGTGCATCCTTCATTCAATTCACATTAACCAATATTGTTTGTTTATGGGTTTTTTTTTATGTTTCTTTAGATGATTGAAACAAATGACATTTCAGAAGAAAAGATCAAAATGAAACAAGCAACGGAAGGTAAGAGTGCATCACTTTTGGGGATCTTGGACTTGAACATAATGAATAGAAATACTGTATTGCTTCATTTGACAGAAGTTTCTGTTCCTGCTTGGGTCATCACTCACTATTTTCATCTAAATCAGGAGTCTCCAACCTTGGCAACTTTAAGCCTTGGTGGACTTCAACTCCCAGAATTTCCCAGCCAGCAAAGCAAAGCTGGCTGAGGAATTCTGGGAGTTGAAGTCCACCAGGCTTAAAGTTGCCAAGGTTGGAGACCCCTGATCCAAATGCTGTGCTCAGGCCTACAAAATGCCCCTCACCCAAAAATGGTAGTGTCACCTGGTACAGGACTACAGCTCTGGCTTATGTTCAGTCTGCTCCTCTTTAGAAGTTGAGAGTTTGGAAACCTGTGGCCCACATTCATCTGCCTTTTGACAAAGACTTCTACCAGTGTTATCTCAGACTTCTGCTAAAGCTGCTTCTCTAGCATTGAGGAAAACTGAAAGCACAAGAAGAAATGCCCTGGTCCAGTTATCATTGCCTTTCTCCTAAACATATAATCTAGTGAAGAAGACATGCCTTCAGGCTAATGAAAAAGAATTCCCAAGCAGAGTTCCTTAGTTTGGTGTCCTCCTAAATACGTTGGACCCCTATGTGCTTTGGTGTGGGCTTAAGTGGAGGTTGGGGTTTTCAGGGGTGGGATTCAAATTTTTAACAACCAGTTCTATGGGCGTGGCTTAGGTGGTGGGCGTGGCTTGGTCATGTTACTAGGTGGACGTGGCTTGGTCATGTTATTGGCTGGGCGTGGCCAACTCAACATCACTCACATCGAGGCACGCATCTGCTTGCCTGGCCTCTCGTGACTGTGGGGATGCTGCAACAGTCATAAGTGTGAAAAATGGTCAAAAGTCAATTTTTCAGTGCCATTGTAACTTTGAATGGTCACTCCACACAAGCAAAGTACCAGCAAAGGAGGGAAAAAGAAACTCCAGAGAAGTTCCAGAGACAAGAAGTCTAGTCCTGCCAAGAATGTAATAAGGGTTAATGGAGAGGCAGTTTCTTTAAGCAACACCAGAATATTTCCTTCCTACCTTCCTTACAGGATTAGTCCAGTAATTTCTTCTAACAACCGGTTCTCCGAACTGCTTAGAATGTTAACAACCGGTTCTAGCGAATAGGTGTGAATTGGTAGAATCCCACCCCTGGAGTTTTAAAGTATTGTTTTCAGCACTTCCTTTACTTCTACAGATCTCCAGGACAAATTGAGTAAGAAGGACAAGGAGGTGTCATCACTTGTCTCCCAGATGGATACTCTAAGGGCCCAAGTAAGTGGTAAGTCTCATTGGGCTGGTGTTGGCCAATATGGAAGTATTTTGGTGGCGTGTGCAGTGGTGGGATTCAATTTTTTTTACCACCGGTTCTGTGGGTGTGGCTTGGTGGGTGTGGCAGGGGAAGATTACTGCAAAATCCCCATTCCCTCTGTACCCCACTAACTTGCTTTCCAGCTCCATTCTCCTGTGCAGGGCAACCAAAGAAGACCCAGCCGATCAGCTGGGACTCGGGAGGCAGAGAATAGATGGGGGCTGGGCCAGTCAGAGGTGGTATTTTCTGGTTCTCTGAATTACTCAAAATTTCCGCTACTGGTTCTCCAGAACTGGTCAGAACCTGCTGAATACCACCTCTGGGCATGTGCATAGGAATGTTTATGCAGTGTCAAAACTGCATTCCTTCAGAATAGAGATGATCTGATAAGAAAGAAAACTAATAAAGAATTTCCTACCTGTAAAAAACAAGCAAATAGGGTGGAAAGGAAGGATAGAGTAGGCCAGTGATGGTGAACCTTTTTGGCACCAAGTGCCCAAACTGGAACACGAGCACACACCAGAGTGCTGGATACCTAAAGACCAGCTGGCCAGTGCGCATGCATGCGCCGGCCAGCTGGTCTTTGGGTTTCCGGTGCTCCACCACGCATGAAGACCAGCTGGCCAGTGCTGGAAACTGGAGGAGCAGCTGGCAACAGTGCACATGCCCACAGAGAGGGCTCTGGTGCCACCTCTGGCACACGTGCCATAGGTTCACCATCAAGGGACTAAACTAAAATGTCAATTCCATAGGTTCAGCAATTTTTCTATTTTAGGAGAGATGGGAGAATTTGTAATGGTTGGCATTTTAATTGGCGGAGCTGAAAAATTAACCTGCCCTACTTAAGATGACTAACCAGATTTGGGTGATATTGCGCCAACTCAGGATAATTTATTTGTCTCTGATCTGTTGGCTATGATGGCTAGAGCTTATGAGAGTTGTACTTCAGCAACATCTAGGAAGTCTCAAATTCTCCACTCCAGATGCATTAGCCCAACCTGGCTCGTGCAAACGTTTTTCTCTTCCTACCTTGCCATGGGCTCCAGTTCGGTTTATTCTATGTTGTTGGTTTGTTTTTTGTTCCCCCATCTTCTCTTTCTTTCTGTTTGCCAGCACTGGAAAATAGATGCAAGAGCTCTGACAAGAAGGCGGATTCTTTGTTGAAAGAAAAGAAAAGGCTGGAAGCAGATCTAGAAACAATGTCAAGAAAAACCCACGATGCTTCTGGTCAGCTGGTTCTGATCAGCCAGGAGCTATTAAAAAAGGAAAGGTCAGTCTTCTCTCCACCCAGAGACAGCATGACATATTTAGAGCATTAGGATTAGGAACCCCAGTTATGATAATAATAGAATCTATCAATGGTTCCATGGGAACCTTGGCTTCTATGCAGAGTACTGACCCTACTCGTTTTGGGGAGAACTCTAAAGCTGGAAATGTCTACTATAAAACATTCTGATTATTCTGAAGTTTCCTGAATGGGGCAGCTTTTCAGCATCTTCCAGATAATATCACTTAGAATTTCCAACCTTACTCAAAGCAGGTTCTAAATTCAGGAAATTCCTATCCTAAACATTAGTAAG